CTACCTTGAAGGGGGGGGGGGAGTTAACTTGTTTTTTAAAAAAATTCCTGACAACCCTGTTAAAAGTAGAAAGATAGAAATGGATAAAAGTTTTCTATCCTAACTAAGTATATACTTTGCATCTTTTAAAAATTATCTTTTTCTATCCAAAATTTTCTATCTATTTAAATATAATATAAAACTATAATTAGATCATTAGATAGAAAATATTGAAGATTATTTAAAATAGATTATGTTTTAAAAAATATGATATAAAAAAGTTAAGATAAATAAAGATTGATTAAATTTTGAATTAAGAATGTATTAATAAGGATTGAAAGGATAGGATCATGATTGGTTTAGATAACATTCTTGAGATCTATTTATATACAAATTTATGTGTCTGAAAAGAAGGATACATATGGATTGTCATGGATAACTAAAGGATAAAAAAGGAATGACACGAATAAAATATGATAGAATTAATCTATCTTTATTAATCTTTTGGATTAAAAAATATTAAATTGGATAGAATTTGTATCCATATACTTCCAACAGGGAAGTTAATTATTAATATTTTTTATTGAAACTCGCACGACTTTTAGTTCAAAACATGTATTTTATGAAAAAAAAAATTGAACTTAACGTTTTGTGCTTTTATTTTTCATTTATATCAAGTGAAAGTACAAAAAAAGTTAATAAAATTACTTTAACCCATAAAAAATAATTATTTTGCTACTACAACGCTTAAACTCGATGCTACACGCTTATTGGTTAATAATTTCAGATTTTTTTTAAATAACATTATATTAAATTAAATGAAATATGATGTACGAAGAAAAATTTTTGTTAAATATAATAAATAATAATAGAAATTTGTTGTTAAAAAAAAAATTTTATTTCTACAAAAAATATTTTATTTAAAAAATATATAAATTTATATTTGGATTCAGCATAAAAAATACATGGAATTAAAAAAAAGATTAAAATCGGTCAATGATTAACGAAGTTATGACCATTTTTGCGAATTTGAACGGCTGAATTCAGTTTTGTGGCGGGCGAGAATCAAGCGCCACCGAGTTCTCCCACTCCGCCGTCCGAAAGTTGAAAAAGAATGCATGTACAGTCAGGTCCCCATACTGTTAGATTCCAAACTGTTATGTCCTCAGTAGTGTTATGTTTTTGCAAAACCTCCAAATTCAGAAGTGTTAGGTGACGTCACGTTACGTCACCAATTTTCAGGGCCGTATTCTTAAGCCCAAAGAAAAGGGGGCATATACTTCTAGGCCAAACTTGAGGTGTATATATTTACGTTCTTGAAAGGTGCGCAGTAGGCATACTTTGAGCACATAACAGAGCTGAGTCTGGAGGAGTGGGAAATTTCTGGAAATGTAACAGTATGGGGACCCGACTGTACTTTCACTTGATATACACGGAGAAAAATGGAAAAATGATTTATGCAGTCAGTGTAGTACTCCTTTATAGAATAATATGTGACAGGTACACACTATAGTATTAGATGTTTCATAGCTGAGCACTTTGGGACTCAATACAAGTTATCCCATTCATCAGCTTAAATAAGACTGTTTATATAGTCTAAGAGGGAATAAGAGTATAAAAAATTGGAATGAGAAATTACTTTCTCATGTAATTGTTAAAAGAACGCGGCAATGTACAAAACACAAGTCAATAATAGAAGCGAATATTGAACAAATAGTACTCAGTCCAGTTCTTTCGAAAAATGAACGCCGTGCACATAAAGTAGATACCTACTCAAAAACCACAAGTCATTCTCTCTCTCTCACACTAATGGTCGTTCACTTATCTTACCGTTTCACTTACTCTTACTACTCTCAACTATTATGCAGTGCAGTTAAGTAAATTAAATTATTAAATATTACTTTGAGAATTATTAATTATACATTTCATTCAAGGTCAATTCACTATTTTGTACACGGAAAAAAAAGAATAATCAAATTTACCATGAGGAGTGTCAAACTTGAAAAAGGTTAGGAAAAAATTAATGTTTTTTATTATTAAATTCTAATAACCGTATCAAATTTAAACTAGTTAACAATATTATTTATATTCAATATTATGAATATTGTTGACATCCATACTTACATTAATTACAAAGTAAAATCCACGCATGATCTAATGTATTTCATTGGTAAGGGATGTTTCTTAAATAGGAAATTTTCCCCATCGATTGCGTAGCCGAGAGGCTTAATGTAAAAGCGTGCGATTTATGATTATGCGTATATTTAGTTGTGTGTTTAGGTAGGTGTTTCAATCCCGTATGATTGTAAGATTTTCCGATGCATTTAGTTGTTAATTGTAAGTATGAAGATGTGGGAAGAATAAAACTTGTGAATTAATGAATGTGAATATATAAAGAGTGCATTTAACATATTTTTCTTTTTTTTTTTAATGATTGGTTATTGTTTTTTTATATAAAATTGACGAAGTGAATACAAGGAAACACTCGTTTCGCGTCGCGTCGGCCATTTATTTTGACAGGTTCCGCGCCTGCGTTCCCTTATTGTGAAAATTTCGAAGTAGGGGACTGAGTCCAGTTTCTCTACTATGCACACTGCAGCGCGCCTTATAATCTTCGCCTGTGTTTCAATGCTGTTTACAGTGACATTTGGAACTAAGGCCCTCTATACACTATACGCAACACCCTAAGATGCTTGATGGAAATGAATTAATGTACTTTTACTGGACTGAGTCCAGTTTTTTCAATATTGACTCCCAGTTTTTCAAACTCCATTTTTCTCAGTGTAAATAAAAAATAAAAGCACAAAACGTTAAGTTTAATTTTTTTTCATAAAATACATGTTTTGAACTAAATGTCGTGCGAGTTTCAATAAAAATATTAATAATTAACTTGTCAGGAATTTTTTTTAAAAAAAGTTAACTCCCCCCCTTCAAGTAAGGTCGGATTTTTTTTTAAAAGTTTTGTGGCAACAAATGGAATTATGCATAAACTATTTCTCCGATCTAGTTAATTTTTTTGGGATTTATTCAGCTACGCAAGGAGAACATTCCTGGTAAGTTATGAACAAATTCGATAATTATCAACAAAGTTATTAAACAATTAAAGAAGTGCTATTTTTAATGGTTCAAATTTATTTGCAATTAAACTAATTAACCTTTTTTTAACGTATGATCCATCATTTAAAAGGTATTTCCAAGCTCTATAACTTTCAATAACAACTTTTCCTCCTAAAACTTAACCGGAAGCAACGAGCATCGAAAAACCATGTTTTCCAAACTTTGGCGATTTTGTTTATACTGTGTTTCGCACCCGGAAATCGAGAGCAAACTGTGGGGCTCTTATAAGGAGCCTCCAAACTACCAGAAACCGTTAAGACTTTGCTGTTTGTATTTTTGGACAGTTTTTGCGCTCACCGACTGGCCTATATCGTCTTCCGCACTTTTTTGTCCATCTTCATTTAAATCAAGCAATTCGTTGTCGACAGACTTTGAAAATTTTTCATTTTCTTCGTGAATTGATAGGTGTTGTTGTCGATGACCCTCAGAACAGTAGGAAATCGTGTTGCATTCACAACTTATTAAATTTTCTCTCGATTTGCAAATGTAGCATTCATTCGGAAAGAATCTGGCACTCTTTGATTAAATATCGCTCATTGTTTGTGTCAAACAATAAGTGTATTTCGAACTGTTTTTCGAATTCTGTAAATAAAAAAAATAGTAAATTAAAAAAGAAGTTATTTTTTAGCTTATTGAATCAGCTGCATACTTATAGCTATACCTAATCAGCGATTTGCCGCTGATTCATATTTAGAGACCCTGTAAAAAAAATAGTATTGGGAGGTGCGGGATTCCGCATTGCGAGTGCCAACCTGCCAATGCGGTATTCGCGAAATACCGCATTGGGTGTCGTGGTGAATACGGAAATCAAGGGGTCCCAATGCGGTGCAAGTTTTAAGCTTTGAAAAAACGAAAATACTTGACAGGAGGAAATAATAAAAAGCAGTGGAGAAAAATGCGTGTTAAAGGAATAAGAAAATACTATTAGTAAGTGTAAAATTGAAACCTTAAAAGAAAACGTTTAGATGAACTGTAAAATATGGGCCCAATGCGGCATAGGCTGACTTCAATGCGCCACAGCAAAAGCAACTTTGACTGGTTTGAATGACGTGAAATAGGTAAACAAACATTTTCTAACACATTTGTCTCCGTACACAGACACTTTTCACTAAATCTGCCAACGTACAATTGGTAAGCATCTTCTAAATTACAATAATTGAAAATATTGTTTAGATTCATGCAGAAACGTGGTTATAAAATAAAAAATTGGAAAGTAATGTAATGCAAATCATATGTCAGCTGGGCCACTGTGTTCGCTCGATTCGCTCTGCTTGCTTCTGCCCTCTACTGGCGACTTACACAATGTACCGATTGTGTACCGCATTGAAATCAGCCTATGCCGCATTGGGCCCATATTTTACAGTTTATCTAAACTTTTTCTTTTAAAGTTTCAATTTTACACTCACTATTATTATTTTCTCATTCCTTTAACTCGCACATTTTTCCACTGACACTTATTATTTCCTCCTGTCACGTATTTTCGTTTTTCTTAAGCTTAAAACTTGCACCGCATTGGGACCCCTTGATTTCCGTATTCACCACGACACCCAATGCGGTATTTCGCGAATACCGCATTGGCAGGTTGACACTCGCAATGCGGAATCCCGCGTACCTCCCAATACTTTTTTTTCTACAGGGGAGCAGGATAATATTTTGGATCCTGTAAAAGATCTTTCAGGGTTTATGTAAACGAACCTTAAAGGACCCCTTCAGGATCCTGTAAAAGAATTTCTCAGCTTGTGAGAATAGAAAATTTTAAAATCGTAAAATTTATTTGATAAATTCGCTTTACTTTAGTAAAAATTATCAACTTTATTTTTTCTTTTCACATTATCTTTATTTTATGTCATATTGTATATCAAGAATATAAGACGATACGTAAAAGGTATAAATATAAGCTTCACTTTTGAGAGAAACCTCACTTGCTGTTCTTAAATTGTGTACTATTATTTTAAAACTGTGCAACAAATAATACATTTAAAACTTCAATATATATATAAAATATATAAGTTTTACTTGAAAATGGGTTGGGGAAAAAGCTATTTCTTGCTACATACTATGCTGTGAGTAACATACTGTACATTTAATCATTTTTTAAAAATAAATTTACTTATTAGTCGTAATTTTTATTATTTCCACAAACTTAGGGGATCCCACTTATCGACATTGCAGATCTAAAATGGTTAAAAATGTGCAACGACCGTTTCTTGAAAAATATAAGGAATTATGACCTATAAATTTGTGAAAGTCATTTTTTATTATAAATACATAGGATGAGTATTTTATTTGTTGTAATTATTAAAAAAAATTATTGTTAGAAAGTTAAATATGGGCAGTTCCCCTGTAACAAATCTTTGACTACTAGCTCAAACTGCAACGACCATTTCTCGAAAACAACGAAACAAAATAATTTTTCCATTTGGGAAATTTAATTTTGTAGGAAAATACGGAGGATGAGACCTATTTGCCATGCAGAAATAAATAAAAACTTTATTTTTTGTAAAGTGTATATGTGACAGTTGTTCGGTGACACATGATATTTAATTTACTAACATTAATTTTTCTTTAACAATTTGAACAAAATAAATGTCTCACATTGTGTATCTTTCATCAGTAATGAATTTCCACTCGAAAAGAAGACATTATATTTTATTGTTGTTAATTTAAAGTTAAAAATAATCAAAATTTGTCACTTTTGGAACCTTTGGCGCCATCTCTTGGTTCTATAAACTACTAAACATCTGTCACATGTGTTCTTGTTGCAAATTTATATACAAAACAGTTTACATAAATTAAAGTTTTTTATTGTTGTTTTCAAATATGTAATGAATCTTATTATGTGTATTTTTTATTAAAATTAAGTTAGACAAATGGAAAAATTATTTTATTTTGTTGTTTTCAAGAAAAGGTCGTTGCAGTTTGGGCTCTTGGAAACTGCCCATATTTAATTTTCTAACAATATATTTTTTTTAATAAATACAACAAATAAAATACTCATCCTGTGTATTTATGATAAAAAATGAGTTTTCCAAATTTACAGGTAATATTATCTTATATTTTTTAAGAAACGGTCGTTGCAAATTTTTAACCATTTTAGATCTGCAATGTCGATAAGTGGGTTACTTTAGATAATTTCCATTAACGGTGTTGCGCAATTTCAAACAGTGGTCGCCTTTTAAAAATGGCTGTTTGAACGTAAACATAATTTGAAAAGGATTTTTCTCCTACACAGGAAAAAAGAAGTGTTATTTTAACACTAAAAGTAGTGTTAAAACTACACGCAACATTTTTAACCGACACTGTGTGATTTTAACACTACAATCTGTGACGTCAAATACAGTACATGGGACTGCGGCCTTAGTGGTGCCCGATATTTAGTTGTGGAGGACCCTTAATTTTCTTGACACGGACCTGAATGTTTTAGTTCTTGCTTGCTTCGAACAGTGCACAATATTCCCGACGAGTGCACTATTGTAAGATCCTACTGTACATTTTAAATAGGGGTTAAAATAACACCAAAATTGTGTTAAAACAACAATCTTTCATTTGTGCACAAGAAATTGAAAATCCAATAAAATACACGACGTCAGGAAGTAAAATGAGAAAATTATATGTGCCATTAGGCGCTGCCCTCTGGTGGTAATTTTATGTATCGCGCATTTGTTTAACTTTTTCCTATTTTACTTCCTGTCGTTGTAAATCTAAACAAATCTTTTATTTCTTGCGCGCAAATGAAAGATAAAATATTTAGGATATCTTGTATTTTCTCCGATTTTGCAATAACTGCCCGAATGGGGAGAAAAATCATTTTAAAATCAAGTATACATTTGAGCAGCCATTTTTAAAAGGTGATCACTGCGGAACACCATTAATTATACTATTTTAAACAATTTATATAAGTATATATATATTTATTTTTTTTTAAGGGGGGGGGGGGTTCGCTTCCCTGCGTGCTCCGCGCGCCAACCCCCTGATTATTTTTTATACACTGAAACCCCACTTATTTGAACATGGCTCGCACAATTTGACACAAAGTGTCGCGTTTATTTGTATTTTGGTCGACATAACCTATATTGGTGACGTAATTCAATGAATTGACATGATTGGTTGGTTTTGTTTGAACTCAACCATGGAGTAGTATAAGGAGACCGAACGACATGTATTGAAAGTGGACCTGATTTCGGTTCCCTCTTAACATCGTGAAAACACCGAATGCAACACTAGCGCTACTCGCGGAAAAATGAAGAAATAAACTGCATTTTTTTAATAATCACATGCCAGTTTACTATTTACACTTGGCGAATAATAAATATTTATCACTATATTTGACTACGCTATAACCATACTACGCTGCACGTTGCTGCACATACATTCCAGTAAAAAAAAAAGTATTCAGAATAGAGAAAAAGTATTGGTGGAGACGTTCGGTGAATGCGTTTTCGCGACAAAACCGTATTGGTGGGTTACGGTGAATACATTTTGCTTACCGTGAATACATTTTTTTTAAACTCTCGATTTAAAGATTCCTAAGCAAAGTTGAGAATATTTATAAAGAGCGTAAGTGACCTGAAGTACAAAAATGACGATTGCGAGAAGGAAATAAGAAATTTGGAGAAAAAACGAAAAATTAAATGTGACAAACCTACAACGTATGATGATGAAAAGGAACATTGACGATACCGACAGAAACTTGAGAAATCCAAGTAAATGTATGTGAAACATTAAGTTCCGCCGGTAACGTCAAAGTTCCTTTTAATCATCATACGTTGTGGCACAGAAAAGCATATGGTACTTGATCAACATTTGACAATCTGTTTGTCACATTTAATTTTTCGTTTTTTCTCAAAATTTCTTATTTCCTTCTCGCAATAGTCATTTTTATACTTCAGGTCACTTGCGCTCTTAATAAATATTCTCAACTTTGCTTAGGAATCTTTAAATCGAAAGTTTAAACAAAAAAGTATTCACGGTAAGCAAAATGTATTCACCGTAACCCACCAATACGGTTTTGTCGCGAAAACGCATTCACCAAACGTCTCCACCAATACTTTTTCTCTATTCTGAATACTTTTTTTTTTACTGGGATAATTGTAGATTATATTATGAATTTCCATGATAGTTATCACTTTTCTCACAAGTAGCGCTAGTGTTGCATTCGGTGTTTTCACGATGCTAAGCGAGTACCAAAAAGTGGTACACTTTCAATACAGATTTCGCACGGTCGTTCGGTCTCCTTATACTACTCCATGAACTCAACCAATAGGTATGTTTTCGTTGCCTGCACTGAGTGTAACTTTTACACCACCTCAAGAGTAGAAAACGCAGAAACGGGGAGGTATACAAGCGCCGATTACATTTATACATGAGATAAATTTAATTTTCAACCTGTAATTATAGGTATGTTTTCGTTGCCTGCACTTCTTACACTTTAACACCTAACCTGCACTATGCTGTTCTCTTTGCCGGATGTGACGCAATTTTACCATACATTTCGCTACACTTTCCCCTGTTTAAAAAATTTGATAGAAATGGAAAGAAAAAAATTTCTTTCCATTTCAATCCTGTTTCTGAATCCAAAATTTTCAAAAATTACAATCAGTTTCAATCACATACTTTTAATAGAAAGTCTATCCAAATCAATACTTTGTCTATCCGAAAATTGTCCCATGTTGTCCCACTGATTTCAAAGAAAGTCTTATCAAATTCTATCAAAATTGATTATTAAAAATTGTTTCCAATCCAATAAGATTTTTTGATTTAAATTCTATCAAATCCTATATCGAAAAATGACAGAAAGTTCTTTCCTATTGTATCCAAGGTGGTTACAATTAAAAACATATGCTTTGAAAAAAAATATTTGTGGAAAAAATAATAAAAGATTCTTATGACCATTAATAACATTATATTCTTAGCACACTCCAAACATTTTAATTAAACTAGAAGAAATAAATTAAAATTTTTACCCTATGGGAATCGAACCCCGCACCTATGACCTATCTATCTAAACGCTTAACGACCGCGGCTACCGAATCGACGTGAGAAATATTTTTCGACCTGTCTATATAAACTGCAACTTTGAAAAACGTAAGTTTATGTAAATATTATAATTTTTGTAAGTACCTATAAAAATACAAGCAGAAATTAAAATATTTATAGAGATTTGCAATATATGCTATTATGTTAAAAATATTAATTAAATATTTAATAAATTTTTGCTTAAATGTCATTTGACTGCTTTGTAATTTTTTGCAAATATTTGCAAAAAATAACATCAAACAATATAAAAAAATAAAAAACACAGCTCAACTGTGTTAAAAAAATTTCGTTGATTTTCTAAAATGTTAAAACTTTTATGAAAATCTGTAGTTCACAACAAAACAATAAAGGGGCGCATGATTATTCCCCAAATGTCATTTTTCTGAAATGTCATTTTATCGAACTGCACTTTAACGAATACTTATTTTTGCGAAAAGCCAATTTTGCAAAATATCACTTTTGCGAATTGTCATTTTTTCGAAAAGCTATTTTTGCGAATCGTTATTTTTACGAATTGTCAAATTTCCGAAAAGTCATTTTTGCGAATCGCCATTTTTACGATTTGTCAATTTTCCGAAAAGTCATTTTTGCCAATTGTCATTTTTACGAAAAGACATTTTCGAGAAATGTCATTTTTGCGAATTGTCACTTTTGCGAATCGCCATTTTTACGAATTATCAAATTTCCGAAAAGTCATTTTTGCGAAAATTCCTATAGTGAATCTATATATGCATACAAGCAGATTTACTATAGGAATTTTCGCAAAAATGACAATTCGCAAAAATGACTTTTCGGAAAATTGACAATTCGTAAAAATGACAATTCGCAAAAATAGCTTTTCGCAAAAATGACAATTCGTAAAAAATGACTTTTCGCAAAAATGACTATTTGCAAAAGTGCAGTTCGGTAAAATGACATTTGGGGAATAATCATAAAATTTGATAGAATTTGTATCCAAACCTTTTGATAGAGAAATAATGGATTTTCATGTGGAAAGAATTTGATAGATATTCAATCAAAACTCATG